CAGGGGGAAAGGGAAAGTGGATTGCTACCACCCGTGGTTATACTATGGATTAGTTAAACAAAACCTATTACATTGTGGTGCTCATGAAGAACAAAGAAAATCAGCAGTGTTACATCAACTGAATGTTTGGTAAATTAACAGCATGCAAAAACAATGTCCTGGAGTTAAACTCTTCTTCCTGTCTTGGACCACAAAGACGTGCATGTATTATATTTAAAGAGAAAAGCAAATTTAGCTGCATTACAATGGATGCACTTTTTTACCTCTTCAAAGTTTCACATATTATGTCACGTTGCATTCAAAAAACTTTATGATATAGACCTAAACAAAGTAATGCATGATTTTGGAAGGTGAAAGGAAGATGATGCAGGGATTAAAAAATCTGTTGTGAACTTTTATTTTCATTTTTAGTTTTTTGTGAGTTATAGCTTTGTAGAAATATATTCTCCACAGGAAAAGATCAGTGGGATTGGCCTCTAGCAGCTTTGCACTTCTAAAAACATCATTTTAACCTGTTATTTTTTTTTCTTTCTAATTGATTTATTTCCCCTATCTATCACATAGATTCCTTTAAATCCAAGCCATATCCATGTAGCTCTGGTTCTATGTTAAGTCATAGCTGGCATTTTACAGCCTCAGGTTTTCTTCCAGGACGGTCCTGCATTTAGGTTTATTCCTCTTCCAACCAACTCTGAAAAACTTTTCTGGCCTGTAATAGAAAAACATCCCCACAGCATGATGCTGCCACCACCTTATTTCAGGATGTTTGTTTTTAATTCATACCGTTTTGCATGTAGGTCAGAAAGAGCCATAGTTTTCTCATTTAATTAGAGTACCTTTTTTAACACTTGCATGCTTTAAGGCCAACATGGCATTCAAAAACTTGAAGGGAACTTCTTGGATTCGGTTTTATCAACTGATCAATGTGCTCACTCCTTAATAAAAGCCAGATGGGTCTAATGGATGGCTCACATCTCCCAAAGTGTGGATTTCTGCAGCTCTTCAAAGTCACCTCTCTTTCAATTTTAAGATGATGGATTAGCAGGCATCTCCAAACTGAAACCCTCAGAATGATTTTTCAGAAATTGCTCCTAATATATTTTGCCAGTTCTGGTGGTTGTTGCAAATATACATTAAGAAAAATTTAAATTTTTTCACTTTCACAAGCACCTTGAAAAAAAGGTCCAGAAGGATAAAAGTCTTCCTTAAAGTCAAAATGTAAAGTGAAACGGGACATAATTAGTTTTTATCCATGTGATAGTGCATTTGATTAAAAATGTATATTTTATCGTACCAGAGAAAACCCAATGACTTTAGCTAGAAGGTAAACATAAGAAATCTATAAAAGTAATATATTCAAAATGTAGGATGATGTTTTCTATTGTGAAAACCCACAAGCCATTCAAATTAACGCTTTTCAGATCCTTTCTCTACAGAAATAATTTCAATATTGTGTGTTTAGTTAACAGTTAAGCAGATAAATATGTGAGAGAAAAAGTTTTTCAACTCAAATTTAATTCAAATAAAAAAAAATAAAAAATAAGGCCAAGCACCTTCAACTTGTTTTTTTTGGCTCCCATGGCAAACATATTAGAAACCACTGGATTAAAGATTGGTAAATGAAGTTTAAAACATGAATTACTGATTTATAATCTACACGCTTGTTTTAACTTCCTCACAACCTTCTACTGTTTTATCCTTTCTTAGTATTTTTGTTGATTTATTTATTTTTCTCTAATAAACCACTGAGATTTATTCACTAATCAGCTGTATTTATACTGAGATAAAAATATACACAAGAAGATTTTGCTAATGCAGTGACTACTAAACTTGTTGAGTATCAGATTAAAGGTTGGCAGAAAATAAATGTGCACCACACTTTTCAGATTATATTGTTAGAATAACTGACAATTTAGGGTTATTATTTTTAATTCCTCCTTCACAATTAAGCACTACTTTGCCTTATCATGATAAATACAAAAACAAAGTGTTATGTGGCTGTATCGTCACAAAAGTGAAAACTTTTGCAAGGAATGGTAAAACCTGATTTAATAACTGATATTCATTTAATTACATTTAGAAATCAGCAAGAAGGATTTTATTGCATTGCTATATGGAAGTTTATTGCTGTAACATTTGTTGGCTCAGTTCTATGCACCTAGCCCACAAGCTCACCCCGAACAATGTTGGAGGATGAAACCTTTATTTCAGATTGCTTCAACACGGTGCAGTGTGGTCCAAGCAAGAGAGGGCACTTATTGTACCCTGAGGACTTTGCCACATTCATTTGAGGAGCGGCCCTTACTCATTATTAGCAGACACACTAAACGATGGGCTCCAAACAATACAGAACAGATCCCTTTATGCACACAAGTGCTCAGCATTTCTGCAACCACTGGGTGCCCTCCACCGCTCCCTCTTCTTTTTAGATACCTGCACATAAGTGAAAGATGTGGGGGACACAAAAGCTATCCTCAACTTTCCTTTACGTCCATTCTGAGAGACGGGCCCATTTTAAAGCTCTTATTTGTGCAAAGCCTCTCATTAACTCTGCTCATGCTGCCTCCCTCGGCTTGCCATCGCTTAAGTGGTTGGTGTTGTAAAAAAGCTACCAATTAGTCACTCATCAGCTCCAATTAGAGGAGACAAAGCTTGAGTAAAGATAACTCAATGAGAGGCAGAGTGTGTGCTTCTGTGTGTGTGTCTGCACACATGTGCGTGGCCCAGAGGCCGGCACAACATAGTTTTTAATCAGTGAAGAACTTGTGGCCATTCAGGGTGACCCATTGCGGCGCAGGTCCATTCACTCTCCAGGGCTCCTCAGCGGACCCTTTTCTCGAGGCCAAGTGTTGTTATGCTGGGAAGACAGGCCCCCCAGGAGTCCCAGATAGAGAGCTATTCAGTTCCCTCTACCTGTTTGCAGCATGTAAAGCACTCAGGCCCGGGCCAATCTCTCAGCATTGTTTCCTTCACTCTCAATACTTCCTTAAACTTAGGCCTCAACAAGAGCGGGCCTTTTCAGTGAAGGGGAATAGGGGATGTATGTTAAGGGGGTGCCTTTCACCTCATTAGAATTGAATTTGCACTGTTTTGTAATTACGTTGAAGCACAACAATGTATTTTTTTTCCATCAAAATCTTTGTTGAATAAAAGATTTTTTGGGGCAGTTAATTTGCTGCCCACACTAACACATTAATTAATGAATTGGGTAACACTAATTTTCTCTACCCTGTTTGCTTTCCCCATCTATTTTCAACTTGGCAGCCTCCACTAATAAAATTACCTCATTAGGGCCTCTATGACAGCACAGTAACTTCCTCATTTATTTGCTATGAAACATTTTCAATTGAAGTGTGTGTGTGAGTGTGTGTACCCATTCAGTGCTGCATCTTTTTGTGGGTAGTTCTAAATAATGAAGAGGACGAGCAGGGAGATATAATTAGAGACAAGGGGCCACTTCAGTAAATAGTTGAATTCATTTAGGGCTCCTCTTTGTTTGATGGTGATTAATTATTTCCAGAAGGGATTTTATAGATATATACTGTGTTGTTTTGTTATCTAACAGACAGAACTGGCTGAAATAAACATAATATAGCAGAGGCTATTACAAGTTGCCTTAAAAAATGCCATGACTTTATCTGTTTATGTATTTCAGAAGCACTGCAGTGCAACTAAAAACTTTGAAGTTCTTCAGTTTTCATTTCTGTTTTATCATTAGAATATAGGATAATAAAAGGGTGGATTGGTCCAAACGGCATCACTGCAGGAGTTCTAAACTTTAGCTACAATTTTACATCCATCTTTATTATAACATCATTCATTTATTCTGCGAACAAATTTAGTTTAGATGCACATTGTAGTTAAAATTATAAAAATACAAACTTAAAACAGTCACTAATATTAATTTCCCCAAAGTCTTAAGTCACAGTTGGGTTTTGATTATGACACAGCGTCTCTTTGTCATAAAAACTGCAAGGTATTACAAAATCATTGAGTTCCATGTCTCAAGGTATAGGGCTGAAATCTGATGGGCAGAGCTGGAGAAGGCTGCCATCTAGTGGCAACACACTGGAAATGACCAACTCTTTTGTGGAATTTGGAAAAAGAAGAACATTTTTCTAATTTGACAGTAAAAGAAACCGATAAAAGGCTGTTGAAAAAAATCTAAGTGCTTGTATCTTTCAGTACATGCTCAACAAACTATAAAATCTTAAACAGGCTGAAGATTTACCCTCTTTGAATTAGTGATTAAAATATGTGCTAACAAATGCCTGGCATCTATAAAAAGTTATTCCATCCTGAGAAGATTGGAAAAAAGTCTTCTGAGTGATCTTGTTGAAGCTCCACACTGGTACTAATTTGAATGAGCCTCCATTGAATTTCTAAAATAATTCACAGAATGCAAGTTATGTTCTATTTGTGAAGCTGCAAGTGAAGCTTTCAGTGATAAAACTGTTTAAAAGCAGACTCTCAGCTAATAATACAACATAAGCATAGACACAGTTATATAAAAATACTACCATGGTTTTTAAAATCCATCTTTAATTCTAATGCTGAAATAACTTTACTTAACAATTACCCAAACATTCTAGAATCATACTTTAAAAAAAGCTGTAGAAGAGAACATAACAGCATGGCAAAGACAGTATTTATTTGTATTTAAAACATGTTAATTGCTTTTGTATAGATAATAGGTTCTTAAACAATCAAAGATTAATACTTAAGTTGACATTTTTTGTCTCTACAGGTCCAAAGGTAGATCCATGTTTAATTAAAAGTGATGTTAAAATTTGTTCTTGCAGATTTTTAAACTTACTTTAGTTTGGACCTTTAAAACATGCATTCAAACCGCTGCATGATGTCTCCCTCTAGTGGAGAAAACCTGTGTTCCCATTTAGCCAACCTTCAATGAGTAAACTCCATAAAACCCTATTAGACAATAACTCTTATGAAGTTGAATGCTTTTATTTTTAGAACAGTATTATCAAAGCATTAAATCTTACAGTTTTTTTAAGTGGCCTACAGGAAAAGCTTCACACTATTGATAGTAAATGTAATGATGTTTTTATAGTAAAAAAAAGGTGGCATATTTCCTAATTCAGCTAAACAAACTGTAAACAACCTTTGTAAACAGAGCATGTTTTTAACAGGGACAGGTTTTTTTTTTTTTTTTTAATATTTGGACATAATCCATACAGGACATAAAAAAATATTTAATGTTTTAAGAAAATCCTTGAAACTGTAAAAATCGAGTTTTTGCGGGGATAAAAACTGTTTATCCACAACAGAGTATTAGGGCCAGACTATAGAAAAGTTTGTTTTTGACAGGTTGTAATATTATAACAATAAATTAGTAGAATTATGAGAAAAAATTCATTATATATTCAGAATAAAGACATGAGTATTAAGTCAAAATGTTATAAAAATAGTCGTATTGGAAGAATTAAGTGATATTACCAGATTAATGTAATAATATTGCTGAATTAAAGTTGTAATGCTATGAAAATAAAGTCAATATTTAGAAAGAGAACTCTTGCATGATTATCAGCTGCATCGAAATGAAGACTGTTGAAAATCTTGTGAACTTCTACTTTATTATCTATTTTGTAAATAAGGAAATATTAAACCTTTTAGCCCATCAGCATCAAATTAATATTATGTTTACAAATGGAGCTCAGATTGCCGTTTGGTAGTTTGGCTGTGCTGGTCAGTATTGTTCGAATGATCTGATGTCTATTCTGTCATGACTTTATTCTCATGATATTATGAATTTTTCTGGTCCTACAACTCTATTCTCATTAGCTTTATGAAGTTCCAGTGCAGCAGCTATAATACTTAATGCATCTTGTGAAGTTATGCATGCCTAGATATTGTATTGCTCAGTTTTTCATAAAGTACAGTAAAAATATAAAAAAACTAAGTCTATGCACATTTGTTTAAAAACAGACAATCTTTTATGTTATAAAAAAATAAACATCTGTTGTAAAACAATATAAAATATGTTCATAAAAATCCATTAAATATAAAAACAAACCCCTTCAGTATTTACACCTGGCAGTATTCAAAGCCACGATTCGTTATTAGTCCAATCAGTTTGTTCTTTCTCGTCCTTGTTTTCTCTTCTTGTTCCTTTTGGACCACCGGTCTGTTTGAGACAGAGGTTCCTTATAGTCCTCCCCTGATCCTGCATCCGCACTGTCTGCTGTGCTTCTCCAACTGTCTGGGGCTAAAGGAATGTGGTCATCCGGAGAGTGCGTTGGCTGACCGTACACCTTGCTCTGCAAGTCAGCAATGTCATTACGGATATCTGCCATCAGCAGAAGCAGGAAATCAAAGGATCCTGGAGGGCCCTGGGATGTAAAGAAACAAATGGAAAATAAGAATCATATGTGGTATTGATGAATATTAGAATAAATCAAAGGTTGCTTTTAAATGATCCCTTTTCAGTAGTAAAGAAATGTATGCACGGTGTATTTGATCTTTTTTTATAGAATTAAGACTTCGTAGATCTCACACTGTATTATAAACAATCTATTTTCAGTGCAGACTGATGTAAGTCATCATGTCTATCAAGACTGAGTACTTAAGAATTTCAACAAACGTTATCTAATAAAGTCCACATTCCTTTAACGATTAAAATGGCGCTTTAATTTGGTAACTGCAAAAACTATAGAGGCACCTAATCCCAAGTTATCAGACACCCAAGTAGGTAACAGAAAAAAAAAAAAAAACATTCAGTGCACATTGAACTTCCCCCCTTTTTTCCCATGCTCATGCCTAATGTTATTACACCCTACACCATAAAATGCACAGTATATTAAAGTTGTCTTTGTATTGCTCGGTGTCGGTTAACTTTATGTGATGACTGTCTTAGCTCAAATTTGTCATTTAGATTAAGGCTGTATGTTACAATAGTGTATCGTTAGAATGAAAAGTGTTTTTCTTACTGGTGGTCCAGCAGGACCGGGAGCTCCTCTCTGCCCCTGAGGAAACAAAACAAATATTTAGTTTAGTCAAATTACAGTGGAGAAAAGATGGGGTAGGGGTGCATGAGCGGATGTCATAATATCATATTCGTGAAACTTTTCAAAAAGCCAGAAAATGAAAGATAAAAAAATCTCTAGATTGAAAAAATATCCCTAAATGCAGGGAATATTAAAAATAAGAATAAAAGAAAAAGGAAAAACTTTGTAATGGACTGTTCCATTTTCTTTTTTTGCAACCACAGTAAGCTGTGTTTTTGAATTTTGTACAACTTTTTGATAAATAAATTTTTAAGTTGGCTTTTGTTGTTTTAAAAAAATTTGAATTTTGCCAGAAAATCAAAACGTTTTTCAACCTTTACAAGGATTTTCATGCTGAAACAGTGAATGCTTCAGATTCTTGTCTGTCTGTACCATGTGACCTGTCTGTATCAGATAACCTAGTCCTCAAGGGACACGTGCACAGAGAGCAAACACTCCTAAACACATTTTACAATGTTAAAGCAAGTTTATGAAGCAAAATAATGATTTCCATTGGTTTTCTTGATAAGCTTGATCTACACTGAAAAATGTAGCAAATCAAAATATTAGTAACTCAAGATAGTATATGCTCATATTATACTCATAATAATAATTCCAGATTAAATCATCAGCAGGAGTTAGACGTGCATTTATAGAAGACTGTTTAGACAAATACATTTTAACTTTATTAAAAAAATAAAGGTTTAACTATTTCAGAGTAAAATTCATTATAGCATTAAACTAACTTTAGTTTGGACAAAACCTCTATGGGGAAAAACATAAGAGAGAAATCATAAATTCTTGTTCAATGAGTATTTAATTCCTGGATTATCATAATAACTAATCTAGACCATGTGAAAGCAATGAAATGTGTTGTGTGTGCATGTACAGATACTGACCTTGGACTTGATTAGAAAAAAAACATAGAAATAACCCTAAAGCATAAATATCTACTCTCTCAGCACACTTTATCATTATAACATATATCCAAGTCACCAATAAACTGTGATTAAACATAATATATAACTACACCTACAGTTATTTTGGTGGGCCTCTACACAAGCAGCTTCTATGCCAGTCACACCTTTTTCAGCCACAGTTTACAGATTGTTGACATAGCAGAGGCTGAAAGGGAGAGGTATTGCTTATTGTTTTTAAACTTTAACTTTGGTTGCTTTATGCATTACTAAATCAGTTCTGATGTCTGGTTGGGATTATGGCTCTACTGGAGTTAGAGTTTAGTACAAGTTTCAATCACGATGGTCTGAAGTTATGCCAAGTGTTTGAAGTTATGAGCCAGTCCCCTTTCTTTAAATATTCCATCAACTCTGGGCAATCTACCAACTCCACTCTCAAGAAAACATACCCAGAGGAAGATAGTAAAATATTTACCAGTTTAATGTGAATATCATTGATGTTGAAAGATAAATTGTTACTTCTTAGTGTTGTTAACGGTTATTCAGCAAAAAAGTAGAAAAAATAACATCCTTCAATGTAATGTCTGACCCGTTAAACTAAAACAAGGCTTCTTTTGACTTTCATGAGGTACTTTAACACCTCTTTTTGCAAAGATAACTCATGATCAGAACAAAAATGTAATTGAACCTTTCCAGTTCTGACAGCAAATATTAAATAGTTGACTAAGGATAGCTAACAGAAGATCTGTGATTTAGTGTTTTAATGTCTTTAGGATCTATTGTCGTTATCTACTAAGATATCTACTAAGATCTTAAATAAGGAGCACTAAAATGTTTTCAAATAAAATAATTTAAATAGATCATTTTAATAGATATGTCTACTATTGTCTGAAAATGTTCACATGCAAAGAGACTCTCTTCAACATCTGTCACTGTATCTATAGCCTTGTTTCAAATCAATGTTTTAATGCCAATTTTCACATCCAAGCATAATGCTATCCTTTCTGCAGACTTCTCCTCCAGCCCTGCTGGGGGAAGCCTGGGGCACTCCCAGGCCAGTCAAGAGACATAGTCCCTTTATCATCTCCTGGGCCTCCTCCTGGTGGGAAGTGTCTGGAACACCTCCCGAAGGAGGCGTCCAGGGGGCCTCCAAAAATATGTCTGAGCCACCTCAGCTGATTCCTTTTGATGTGGAGGAGAAGTGGCTCTGCTCTGAGCCACTCCCCAATGACAAAGCTCTCTCTAAGGGAGAGCCCAGCCACCCTCTGGATAAAGTTTATTTATTTTGCATCCAGGATCTCTTTCTTTCAGTTATGACTCGGCTTTAGGAGCCAGCTGTAGGGCTTGGTAGGAGGGAGCCAGCAGAACCACATCATCCGCAAAAAGCAGGGACGAGATCCGCTGGTCCCAGAACCAGACCTCTCCGGTCCTTTGATGCACATGTAGAAATCCTGTACATAAAGGTTATGAACAGGACCAGTGAGAGAGGGCAGTCTTGGCGGAGTCCAAAATGCACCAGGAACAGGTCCAATTTAATGCCAGCAATGCAGACCAGGCTCCTGTTCTTGTTGTACAGAGAAAGAATGGCCCCTGACTCTGTACTCCTGAATCTGTCCCCACAAGGCACCTCTAGGAACCCAGCCTAGAGGTGCCTGCTGAGTCTCACAAGCCAGCCAGGTTTGATAGGACTCCTTTCTTAGCTTGACATCTGATCTCATCTTGCAAAATTAGAAATGCATAATTCAGCATTGCTAAGTGTGTTGTTGAAACGAGTCCCACCAAAACAGACTTGGTCATTAGTTGCATTTTGGCTATCTGAGGATTTTTTGGCATGGTGTTTGAGCTGTGGTCAGTGGATATTATAATGAAGTTGACAGACTTATAGAGGTGTCTCAGATCAAGCGTGTGTTAGTCTGAGAGTTAGTGAGCAACAAGCTTGTTATTGGTGCAATATAGCTCCAGTCTCTTTGAAAGGGGGCACTTGGACTTAAGTTGATAAAATTCTTAATTTCAGTGTCTACCGTTTGGTTGGCGTTGCTTATCACATTTAAAATATATAAAAAGTAAAAAAAATGTTAACCACAAAACTGAAAATATTAGGATATTGTCTAAAAGGTGCATAGTCACTTTAGAAACAAAAAATAGCAAAAAACATTTGTTCACTCTAAAATAAGATTTTATATAAACAAAGCACCCTCCTGATAGGGTGTTAATGCTACCTCTGTAACCTCACCAGAATTCCAGCACTTGAGCGTACACAAAAAGACGTGTGTGCCATTGACTGGTTGTTCTGGGTAAGTATCAGAAAGCTAAATGGCAGCAATCGACACAGCTATTTAATAGGAATAAACCATCCTGCTATGTCTGAAGGGAAAATGAATACTTGATGTGGTCAAATACCAACAAATAAGAGTACAAAGAAAACAAAAATCAAAAAAAAAAATCTAAGTTTTAGTGAATCCTTCCGAGAGCATTCTATCAGAACAATTAAAAAGAAAATTCATATTCCTTCCAAACACAAAGAAGGACAAAGCAACATTGAAAAAGTCATAGGCTTGTCAGTTAAATGTAACCAAATTAAAAGTATTAAAATGCTTTTTCCTAGTAGGTTCATTGTTGATTGAATATGAATTTATTTGGATCCTGGGTGGTCTGCTGGATTGCAGCAGTATTGTACCCTAACCCTTACAAGGATAAAACACAAAAATAACTAATAATAAGCCAGCCTAACTTTGCATTCAACCTAAAGGCTTATTCCTTACTTTCATGCAATTATGATACTTTTGCTTGACATTTTGCATGAGAACTTGAAACAAAATCCTGCCACATATTGTGTTTCAACAGAAATGTGCCTATATGGCAAATGAAAGAGAAATAACAAAATTTTAACCGATTCATATAATCAACAATATACCTTGCAAAGCTTTATAAATTTTTTCGTCCTTTAGATAATAGCAGAAAGTAAATGATAAGAGGGGAAAGGGTCTGGTATGGTTAACCTTTTCTAATCTTAGTTTTAATTTTTTCCATACTTATCCAGACCTAGGAAATAAATTAGCAAATTCTTTCACACGGTGTTGGTAGCTCAGGGTCATGCTGAGGCTGCCAGTGTTTTGTCAGATGGGTTGAATTTGTAACTCACTGAGGCAGATTATCATTATTCTCCAGACAAACATCCCATGTTTACTGAGAGTATGCCAAGGTAAAATATCAATAACAAAAAGATGCACATAAGCATTCCATTGCAATCATTTATAGAAAAGCAGCTAATAGAAGGTTTAAAGAAAAATCCTTGTCAAGATGTGAATTTCTAAAGCTTGTACATCACAGATCCTAATAGAAAGTGATATCAAGGGTTGACATTATGCTTCTTTAAAACATCAAAATCATATTTTTGTCTTTTTGAGGCCATTTTAGGTCAGATTTCATTCAAGAGTTGGCGGTCGAGCTACCACACCTGGTTCTTCTCAGTTTAAATTGAATCTGACACCACACACAATCAGGGCCTTTCAGCTTCCGGAAAATCTGAACCTTACCAAACATACTGCAATTTAACACACCCTGACACAATAAAAAAAAATCTTTGTGACACAGGAAGACGTAATGGATTAAGTCTTTTTGAAAACTGGAATGATACAAAAAACCTATTTTCATGAGCAGGGCTGCAAGTATTTACAAAAATATAAAGCATGATGCATGGACAAATGTGCTTTAATACTAAACACAGATTGTGACAAAGATAAAATCTGCATTTTGCTTTATCATTCTAAACATTGTGGATATATCCCCTTTAGTCTATCTGATTAATATTTCATAAAATGTATGTACAATTCAGAAGACGGTTATAACGCTCATATCTGAAATCCTGTCAAATTTGACACAACTTATCCAGCTGAATCAGCTGCAAAGTGTTGTCTCTGATTTTCTCTAACTAAAAAAAATTGACTGTCAGTTTCTTGATCAACAAAGAGCTTACTCAGGGCACAGAATGAGATGCTACCTGCATAAAAAAACAACAACCTAGAAATGTGTTAAAAAAAAATTTCACTGAATAAAGCAAGCCACTGTTCAGCACAGATGCATTGCTCTATCAACATGCACCAACTTGTAGACCAACATCTTGCCTGGGTAACATTAAGTTCAGATTTTGCACTAAACTGGCACTAACTTGTGCTTCTCAACTGTACATATCTGATGATTAGATAAACATTTATGGATAATTGTGCTTGTTGAATAATAGAGTTTTGCCAAGCATGGATGTGGGATTGGTTTCTCTTTTCTTTAAGTCTAAGGCAACAAACCTGTTACTAAAACATACTGTGCTGTTTAGAGGTTTATGTACTCAATGGCATTGCATTTATTTAGAATAGCTTAATATCAGAAAACTATATACTGTATGATCTTACCTTGAGACCATCCCTCCCTGGTGCTCCTGGGGCACCCTTTTAAGAGAAAAAACAGAAACAAAATATATTAATATGCTTTTAAGTGTATGTGCCCCATATTCATGATTTCTAAAAGTCTTACTAATGTAATTGTAATACCTCCCTACCTAAACATTAAAGAAATATACCCACCCATGCTGACCACAAAAACTGTAAGCGCCATTATGACCGACAAAGAGAAATTAAATAAGGGCTTCGGGACTTCCCTGAGGGATTTCAGATCAATGGCGGGGGCCGCTTTGATGTCTTTCCTGAAACAATTATCTTCAATGACTTATGAACATATTGCACAGGGAGAAACGTCAATCTTCAGTCAATTACATAGCCAGAGAGTCATACATTAATCATGCCTAAAACCCTTGCATGCAGTCAAACACATGTGCCCTGACAGCAGAAAACCTCATAGGAGTACAACGCCTTTTGAGTCTCTTCCCACCAACATGTGGACTGATTAACAGCACAAACAGGCTGGAAATATAAAGAGCTGTGATGGAAACTTAAATCTAACTGTTACACAAACACATACTCATACTGGCAAAGCAATAGATTACTTTCTACTGTGAAAACACAGGTCCTGACTTCAAGATGTAGCTCTATGTAGCTTGTTATATGACTGATTGCAGGTGTTGATGTTCTGGGGCACCCCCCCCCCCCAAACCCCAAAAGAGAAGAAAAAACCCCACAGAGGCTTTAAATAAGGAGACACGTGTCTGGGTGGCAGTATCCTCCACATTACTGATTGATATCCACCTCAACACCACTGGTTCGCACTAGACGGCAAGAGTGAGTACTGCAAATAGTGCAAACCAAAGAAAACATCTGAAGCTGTAAATGGATTCGGTCCGCTCTGTTGTTATTACCATCACCGCGTGTAATACTCACTGACCTGGGAGTCAGAAAGTGGGGGTATTTTCTTTCTCTCCCTGTGCTTGTTTCACAATTCAGGATTACTAAATTATTTGGATTTGTTTGGTTAGCAAAAGACATGCCAGTTAAATCTGTTTTACAGACAAAAGTAGAAATCAACGTCATTATCTTACTATTTTAAGACAACTGTAAATTTTGCCTTATGACTCACTGCAGAGCTTTGCAGGCCAGCTAACAAAAAACCTCTGACTGCTCTTTTACAGCAGCAAAGGGGTTCTCCATCTGTATAAGTGAGCTTGGATTATTATGTATTTGGTGACACTATGGAGGAAAACTAACTGTTGCAAACAGCTGAAAAGAAACCAAAATGAAAGGTCAGAAATCAGAGCTAGCTCCAAAAAAGCTCATAAAAAAAACCTATAATTTACCCAAATATTTTGTAGGTATGTAAACTTGTGAGTTACTGCCATAATATCCTCAATGGTACAACTGATAATTAATTAAAAAGCTCCAAAGACCTTCCTGTAGTGATTTGAGCCTGTAGGTTAAAATAGAAAGCATTCACTTTGTAATAAAAGTATCTATATATCTCCAGGTTCTAACCTATATTGCATCCAAGGCATCTGTTCTAATTGGGATATTGCACACATTAATGCAGCCATGAAGATATCCATGTTAGAGAAATGTTGCTGCTGAAGCTCCATTTCTTTGTTTCTCAAAAGCAAGAAAATGGTTGTAAGTGGCGGTAACGTTATGAAGACAAACTGGATCAAAGCTGTGCACAATGTCAAAGGAAATCATGATTAGAATACCAGCTGTGCATTATCTTAATTGCAAAGTATTACAAAGTTATTCATTCATTTCAAATACCATGCAACAACGTTATCATTAAAAATAATACGTTTGACTGGATGGCTGGCTTTTCATTACCTTTAAAGAGTAAACTGTAGAGACATTTAAAGTCATATATGTGTTTATAAGATAGGAATAAAAAAAGTAGAGACACCATGACGATAGATATAAAGAGTAAGGTAATTGCCTGCTAATTGCACTAATGACTAATCAAAATATTCAGAAATAAAAAAAACAATAGTATATTTTTCTTTACAACAAGCGATTGTATATTTCAATCTAAAGCCCCAGTCACACCTTGACAATTTAGCCAGCGTATGCCTGAAATAAGAAAAATCTGGCAAAAACGCGGACATACATTTGATCAGTCATGGATTAGGTTTGTATAAGTCATGAGCACGCTGGCTCACGTTGACATAGGGCAAGTACCTTGAGAAGTTTTGAGCACCAGAACACAGTAATTTATGCCCTACGAATAAGCATATGCCAGCATATGCTCATATGTAACGGCCAGCACCAACAAACTTCCTAGCAGACATGACGCTGAATCTGCTTCCACTGCATGCCTTCTTTCCCTCTTTTTCTTTTTTGGGCGGGCGGTAAACAGCAGCTAGGTTAATAACGATCATAAAAATCTTTTTAGGCAGGCTGGGCTACTCCAGGTACATTGCTGCCCCTCTCAGGACACTGGCTTGTGACATCTCATGGGCATTGTGCTGCTGTGCGTCATGCATAATTTAGGCTGTCATTGGACATACGCTCTGGACTCGTTATAAATACTCTATGTATATGCCCAAAATTGAACAAATACCTAGAAAGTTAAGCGTATGCCAGCGTTTTATAAGATTCTGGGACGTCAGGCATACGCTGGTTAAATTGTAAAGTGTGACAGGGGCTTAACTTTTAATCCCAACATGGTGAAGCAGTGCATTATAATCTCAAAGTTCTATTCTCCTGCTGTATAATGTTTAATTATGACTTTGTGCTTCTGACTTTTGTTGATGCATACTAAATTAAATTAATGAAATTAAATGTGTGAACGCTGTATCGACAGAAACAGGCAGTGCTGCTTTACTATAGATAAAAAAATTGTATATATATATAAACTGACCACAGGTCCTCGAGGTCCACGTTTGATGTGGAACAGGTCTGGTGTTGGTCCAATGGGTCCCATCAGGCCTCTGGGACCAGGTGGACCAGGAGGCCCAACCAATCCTGGAGGACCAACTGGTCCTGTATCTCCTAGAATAAGGACAGAAATAAAGACCAGACTTGATTGGATAATTTTTCTGAGAGGCACAAGAATAGCTGCTACACTTGCATGACAAAATGTCCACAACCTGTCATACAGCTTGTGTCAGAGGCTGTCAATATTTGATAGGTTGGAAGTGAGAATGTGTAGACACCAGATAAGGATGTCTCCATCATGTTTTACTGTGTAGGATCCACAAACAGATGTTAATTGGAGGCAAATGGACCTTTGCTTATCTTTTCTAGAAATGACTGAAACCTCTCCAGGATTTTGTCAACTGATTTTTGCTACAGCTAACAGTTATAACAATTACAGATCAATCAACAAATACCTTTATCAACAAATCGAACAAAACACTGGATAGCACATGGAAGAAACAGCAATACATGTACTACACATGATCTGGAGGCCTCTCAGCACTGCTGAATGAACTGATGAATCATTAAACGCATGCTCTTATCAGAGGTCTATTTGATCTCTAATCTATTTGACAGGGGATGACAGATCTTAGATATCCTTAGTATTATTGGCTAAATTAAACAGGTTAACAAATGGTCTGTTTAACATAACTTGTTAAGAGTCTGACATCCCTGCATGACCTATATTAACTGATGTTTGATTTTTCTACATAAGGAGTAATTTTCAAATGAAGTACTTTTAATATTTAGATTTAAATTCATTCTTACCTTGTGGCCCAGGGGAGCCTGGAGGTCCTGGTATAAATACAGAGGATGTAAGGATTTTCTCACTGCTCATCTGCACAGGGACATCAGCACTATTTGACAGCAAGGCCATCTTAGAAAAGAATATATATATATATATATGATATATTGTTGAACAAAAACAAAACATGGCTGTAAGAATTACTTAGGCAATATATGAATGACTGAATGATGCATGAATATGAAATAACTGAATGGAGTGTTTTATTTTTTTCTAATTAATTTTAATTAAATCTTTTTTATTAAAAATTCCAGCATCCCCCTTCTTACATACTTTTTTTCTTTTACATTTTGTAGCTTGGAATATTAGAAAAGAACAACTGACCCATGTAATTTTAATTAATGGGATAAAACTTTATACAGATGCAGCATTTTTACCATCATGCCAGTATCAGAGATATTCACTGAAAAAAAACGTTTTTGGCTTTTACTTAATCATATTTAGTTACTTTAACGCAATTGTTTCAGGGTAGGACATACAACAATTGTGTTAAGGTAACTAAATATGATTTAGTAAATGCCAAAAGTGGTTGCATTATTTTTTTCTGTGTTGGGTGCAGGCCAATATAATATTATTTTTTTCTGTGTTGGGTGCAGGCCAATATAATATTTTTTTTCATGTTATTGGACCGATATAGGATATCAATATCGGATTGTGACATTACTATCACATTTGTGTGTGTATATATTTCACATTCACACATATATGCATGCAGACATAAGATTCAAATACCCAGAGAACAGAAATGTAGCAGAACCATAAGTTTAACCTGGGTAGCATCTTTGGGATTTCATAATTAAAACTAAGAAATTGAGCTCATTTACTCCCGTAAATGACTATAGAACACTAATCATGTTGCAAAGGTCAGTTTTGTTTTATGACTAGCCTTTAATAACATGTATTTATGATAAGAAATCTAATGCTTTACTTCACGGTTGACCAAATCACGACAGAGAAATGAGGAAAGGACATAGGTGGACATGAAGAAAAAGGAGATAAATGGATGAGATGGTAATGACTACATTGAGAAAGACCAGAACACAGACGTGGTAACAGATAGCTGCTTCCCAACTGAAGTCAGTGATCTGGGGACTGCAGACCAGGGCTGTCAAAATATGAAAACCATTAATACTCAAACACTAGAATATACTAATTTGGCATGGTAGCCATTACAAGGAAAATAGTTGTTTGCGTATTTTTACTATTGTAAATAATGATACCTCAGAATATGAACAATACCTCAGACAACCTTGAAATATTTTCTAAATATGTGGCATTTGAGTTTTTTATTTTGCATTTATTTGCACGCTTATTTAACAAGCATCTGTGATTCTGTTTTCCCAGCTATCAACATCCTGTTTGAAATGTTTTTGTTGTGACAACTCTATGGCAAACACAGGGCCATGGCAAGTAAAGCATTTCTGCCTTCTATACAGCATGTTTGAGAAGCAGTCAAGTTGATTTGCAAAATTTTAATGGCTGGAATACTTTCTATCTGCCGTTTTAGAATTCTGGTTTGTTTTCAGATTATACGGCAAACCAAACGTGACAGGATCAAAAGGATTCGCTCATCACAACAGTTCATAGTTACTGAAATAGAGCATTAGTATTTAAGAAAGCATGAAAAATCTATCATAGATGCCGTCATAATAATAGTAGTTGTAGAGATCTTGTTTGCCTTTCAGGATAATTTTGATAAATAAATGAATTGTGATGTACCTAGTGTAGTATTTGGCTTCAAACAATACTCAGGAAAGCTGAAATTTAAAGCCTTTTTCTGAGTTAAATTACCCCACATTCCCCTATGCAGGTGTAGGCTCAGCCTTAAATGTTTTCAGGCCGTGGAAACTACCCTTGGGGCATCCTTGGAAAATAAGTTATATTTGATCTGTATAACATCTTGTTGATTTGGCAACCCCCCTTAGAGAACAAGTAAAACATCTTCATATTTTGCAAGAGCTCAATCTAGGACTAAGAGTTCCTGCAGGATTTTGAAATATGTGTTTTCTGGTATACACATTTAATGATATACTTATGAAAATAAACTTTTAATTCAACATCAGTTTACTGAATACTCCATGTAATAGATTGTTTGTTTGTTTGTTGTTTTGGATTATTATGGGTCTACAGCTAACAAAAACAAGCATATTCAGTTTCCCATAATTAAATAATGTTACAAATTATCAATAAATTCCTGTTATTTTATGGTATAGACTAGGGCTGCAACAACGAATTGATAAAATCGATAAAAATCGACTTTTAAAA